TGCTGTAGGCCTTCGCCACCTTGCGCTGGATGGTGAATTTCAGCAGGTGACGATCACCGTCACCCAGGTGGTCAAGCACTCGCAGCCCCCTCACGAGGTTGTTGCCCATGGCCAGCACCAGGTCCAACAAGGTGTCTCCCCTGGTGGGGCTGTGCACCTTCTGGGTTAGATGGAGGTCCTGCATTTGGGCTCAGAACCTATGTGAGCGGTCAGACAAAGAAGAAATGCCTTAGTCTACCCGTGAGTCACAGATGCATTAGATTTTGATGCTTTGGCTAATAAACATGTTTGCACAAGATGCTTGAGCCTTTCCATCCCTTTACTCCCTATTCCTAAAACTACACAAACAACCCTGGCTCATGACAGGGTACATAACCACAAAATACCAAGAATATACTAATCTGCAATAGATAAAGTAGGGGGGATGAGGGCACTGATAATGTTCTGCCGCTGCTAAGGTTGTTAAATGCACTTGAGATCAGTCACCTTTTTTCAGTAATTATTTCAGTAACTTCTTCATGCTTTATTTTCACTTCTCAATTTTCCTTTTAGGGGGCACACAGTATGATCAAAACCATGTTGTTGTCAACACCATCAGTAAAGAAAGGCCAACACAATGTTGGGAGCCATTGGTTGTGTAAGTCCACTCAATTTTATTGAGCAGAGAAGAATTATGAACCAGGAGCATTCTGGATACCACAACTAATGAGACATCCTTTGAAGAAGACAAAAGAGTTTGATGATGTGACACTTATTCTTCCATGATTATCATAAGAACAAACAATAGAATAGCTTCAGTTCCTTCTTCACAGTATTTGTATGTCCCTCCATCCCTGGCCTGAAGACCCTGTAGTCTGATGCACAGTTCTCACAATTCCAGGATTGAGGTATGCAAGTGCTGTTAGCTCCATGTTTTTCTTTTTTACAGATGGGGCACTGAAGCACAGGGAGGCTGGGTGCATTGACACCAGAGTGGTGATGAATAGTTAATCCAAAGTGTATTAAATAGGTGTCATTTTAAATGATTTTCAGAATTGCTTTTTATCAGGGAAGTATGTGAACCAATATATTAAGAAAACAGGTAACACTTTGTTCCATAAGGGATTAGAGTACAACAGGTACATGCATAAAATAGGCTGAGCTTTGTAATGCACTGGAGTATTCATTTACTGACAGTTAAGATGCAAGTGGTACATTAGAACAAAAAAATATTTTTTGCTTACTGAAAGTGCTTAAGAGTTGCTTGGAACAGCATTTCTAAGGAATTTTTACCAAAAAAAAAAAATTCAGAGACTATTTTTATCTATTTTAGTAAATTACTTACTAAAGACTATTTTAAAGACTGTATTTTAATAAGTAACAAATCTGATTTCTAGTTTTTTTTTTTCTATTAGACAGAGGTGACATGAACCTCAGATGTTTGTTAGCAAAAGCACTGGGCTGCCAGACAGGTGCATCAGGTGTGAGGAATGCACCCATTTTATATCTGCTAGGCTGCCTTACTTTTTATAAATTAAAACTATTGTACTTCTCTGCTAGTCTTAAATTTTCAGACTTGAGGGTAATTCTAATAAGTGCACTCTCACTAGACTCAGAAACTCTTTAATTTCAAATACCCTTTCTCCCCAGCCCCCATTTTTTTT